TTTAGTAAAACTTTCTTCAAATATGAAATAAGTTTTTGATGATTCTCAACCACCAAACTATGAGCATATTTGAAAACTCTGTTGTCCTTAAGTCCATCATGACTCAGTGCACATTTCTCTTCTCGTATCTCCATCCGCATTCTATATGTAAAGTGATTAACAAATGACCTTATGCATTTGCCGCTTGCAGTACTGCACTCTACGAATGTCTGCTGTGTTGAATCCCTAATGGGGACAACTTAATAGCAAATTGTAGTGTACTGTGAAAGGTGCATTTCCTTAAGCTAACAGTGGAAATCAAGAACTTTACAACCGAATTTTACGTTAGAATCGCACATTTTCTCTTCGGTTGTTGCTTATTTCTGTCAATTTCTGTTCAGTTCATACCAGTTTATGTATGGATCGAGACCGTACGCGAAGCACGATGCATTTTGGGCGAAAATAATGACCGCTTCAAATTCTAAACCAGCGTTGTAGAGGTCGTATTGATCTTTATTGGCTTAAATAGAAACCGTTAGAACCTATAGAAATTTTGTTGCAATGCACAAGGTCTCCTGTTCTCCACAGATGAGATTTTCATTTCTTGGAGGGGATAATAGGGTGTTTTGTCCTCTTGGCGCATTAGTGCAGGATATGTTGCATTTTCTTCTATAAACATTGTTGTTTGACTCATCGTCGTGTTAACCCAACCGAGTTTTAATTAATTTCGGCAGTGTCTTCTTATCCAGCATCCCTTCACGACAAGAGCTGAGTCGACAATGACACATGCCGTCTACCTACCAGGCATTATACCGGTGCTGCCTGAGTGAGTTCTCTTTCTTTTCGTCCTTTTGGAGCACTTCTTGCTCTTAAACCACCACCTACTGTCCACCACCACATTCCATAACGCAGGTCTTTTTTGTGTAGAAACTGTCCTTCATGTAAACCACAATACACGCTTTCTTCATGCTCAGATTACGTCTCACACTACAAACCGACTGTGACTAAATTATTCACCTTCCCAAATCCACGAATAATGGCTAAAGAAATGTCAGAGTTAACTAATTGGAAATATTTGATATTGATCAATTTTCTATCGATTTGTGTTGATCAAACCAGAAGAAGATTGACCGAAGTTGGTTTAAACGGACGACATTGTTTTTAACTGAGGAATGTATGCGTCGTTTTCTTGTTCAGCAATCGCGGGGTTGCTATATAACATACACTTACTTCCATAGAAAACACTATACAACACAACAGTAGCTGACATTTTGGCAGTATCGCCTTCTTCAGAGCCTGGAATGGTATACTGATAAACAATGTACCAGGCTAAACGCTTCACTTCAAGCGAACTTTAAACTCACCGAGTTTAAGTTTCTCGAGAAGCTATAGATCATGTAATTGCCATAGAGTTTTTCGTCTTTTTGTAAGTGTTATTGAAGCATTTAGCCTAGTAAATTGTATATCAGTATACCCTTCCAGGCTCTGAAGAAGACGATACTGCCGAAAACTCAGCTACTGTTGTATTATGTTGTGTTTTTCAATGGAAGCAAATGTATGCTGTATAACAGCCCTGCTGGACAAGAAAACGATGCATTCATATTCCAATGCCGATGTTAATAGAAAGTCAATCTTGGTAATTGACGAGTGTATATCAAGAGAGCACTCTCAGGAGAGCAGATAGTGTAACATATTTGTATAAGAATGGAATTTTATTATATTATAAGGTATGTAAAGGTATATAGGTATAAAATTTTATATATATATATATATGTATATATATAACAGGGGCGCGTGTGGCGCAGCGGTTGGAGTCGCCACTGAGACGCTTGCGTGGAATCGATCTCCGCGCCCATGGCTCACCAAGCCTTCCATCCCTCCGGGGTCGGCAAATTGGTACCAGACTTGTCTGGGAGGATAGCAGCACTGACTCGATGCATCGATAAGCTACTGCGAGTCATTTAAAAGGCCAGGTATGCATTCAATCACCTCCAACGATACTTAATGAAGTCGAATGCATGCGCATCCCTCAGAAATTGATCAACGCCGAGAGCTTTATCCTTTATATATATATATATATAACCACAATAATTTCGAAATATTTGCGAAGTGTGGACCTTAGGCCAGATCGAACCACGATCTTCGTTTTCGGGGCTTGCGAATCACACATTGCGCCACGCAGGCCCTTGCTCTGCAGCGAAAAATAAAAGATGTACATGTATATATATATATATATATATATGTCAATTTCAGCGTTTGTGTTTTATACCATTAATGGATTAATTATTTAGTTTACTAAAATATCGCGCAAGAAAGAAAAAGAAATGGGATAAGAGGATTGGATGATTCCTCCATTTAGTGGATTCCGAAAACAATTGCGCAAGACATATTAAGCCTTAGGAATAAAATCTTGTAAGAAAAATTTCAACAAACATATTGTTGATATTGTCACGAAATAAGGTGTGGAACTGTACTTCACTTAAGGTCTTCCTGCTGATAAGATTTTCCGCAGTAACTGGGAACTTATCAGATTAAGCTTGACAAACTTCAATGTGTTTACCTTTGGAAGCGCTTCGCACGGCAGTCTTTGTACCCCAGGGAAAGAAGGCCTGCCCAACTAGCAACCTATCACTCAAATAAACATTGTCCTGGAACTGCCTGCATTATTCATGAAGAAGGCCTATCCAAAGTGTTCAGCCAGTATTTATGTTTAACGCATCGATCCTTCTTAGAACGGAAGAAAGTTTCGTCTGATTTATTTCTAGTAAGTGATTAAATCCTACAGTTAACATGTTAGAACTTTTATAAGTACTAGTTATAAGAAAGCGTCTTCAAAGGTTTATCCTCGAGAAGGTTTTCGGAAGGATTTTCTAAGCTCAGCAGTCCTACATTAATGCTCAATACCCACTCTTCATCACATGTGAAATAAAGGAAGACAGATATATTGCACCTCAGATTCTTCTTTCGAAAAACCGACATGCTATTTCGTCGATGAAAAATGGAACAGCACCAGGTCCGAAAGGATAAGATCAAAACACCTGAAGAACCTTCTGCCAGTCCTCGTCAGCACACTGGCCCGGCTACTCACACGTTACCTGTTTGAATGCGAGGCCCCTACTCAGTGGAAAAGCTGCCAGACCGTGTTTTTGTTCAAAAGGGATTATCTCCACGACACAGGCCAATGTCACCTAAACTACTTGTTGTCTGTCATATATAAACTATCAATTCGGGTCATTCTAAACAACATTGACGGAGTGCTGGATGAAGGACAGCTATGTGGTCAACTAAAGCTTCGAAAATGATTCACTGCGATGAACAACATCCACGCGATGACGAGACTCATTGAAGTGTCACAAGGGTACAAAAGACCGCCCTCTCTCACTTTCATTTAAAGAGAGCTTTTGGTTCGCTTAAGACACAACCAGTCATAGAAGTCTTAGACAGCTGAAGCGTCCCTACTCAGCATACGAAAGTTTTTCGCAAACTACGTAGAAATTTAACAACTAAAGCATCTTCAATGTAGAGCGACATTAATATCGGCAGGAAAAGGACGGGAAAGCTTGGCGATCTCGCCAAAATTATTCACAGCCACCCTCAAGAACGTCATGTAAACATTGGAATGGGATAACATAGGAGTGAAAATCGATGGTCGGCAATTACACCAACTTCATTTTGCTGATGACATCGTTCTTATAAGCCCAAGGATTAGCCAGGCAAAACGAATGCTTGCCGACTTTGGTAAGGCCCGTGGAAAGATTGGTTTTCAACAAATTCTCGCAGACGATGTTTTTGAGGAATAGATTGGTTTCGTATGCTCCATTCACGCTCAGCGGAACGAATATTTCAGAATGCTTCTGTTATATCTATCTAGGTCGGGAAATCAATATGATGAACGACTTTGGTCCAGAGCTTAGCAGAAGGAAACGAGCGGCTTGGGGGGCTTTCAAGAGCATCGAGGATGTAGTGAAGAGAACAAAGAACACCCGACTTCGTGCCCGTCTTTTCGACTCAACGGTACCTCCTGCGTTAACGCATGTGTAAGAAACCTGGTCGCTGTGTAAGCAGGATGTAAGGTCACTCAGCGTTATCGAACGCGCAGTCGAAAGGACGATGCTGGGAGTATCCCGCTTCACACAAGTAAGGCATTGGATCCGAAGTTCCGATCTGCGTCAATGATCAAAAATCAAAGATGCCGTTCTGTGCTCCAAACAGTCGAAGATAAGGTGGGCTGGACACGTAATGCGTATGAATGACAACTGATGGACAGGAGCCGTTAGTGGCTAGATTTCTCGGGGTCTCAAACGTTGTGCAGGAAGACCATCGACGCTGTGGTGATAATTCTTCACGAAGACTATAGAAGAAGATTTGCTGAACGGGTCCCTAGAGCGAGCAGAATCGACTGGCCTACTCTTGCAGGCGATAGGGAAAATGCTAAGTTTACTTACAACTGGCAAGAATCACTCGACAATCAGATGCGCCACATGTTTCAATGCTACTAAAATCTTCATCGAGGTCTCGTTTTCGTAGTTAGGATATCGAAATCCATTCTGCGAATGGAAGTCCTGTATCTGTAGCTGATTTGTAATTGCCTCCGTCACCCAGGGGAGATAAACATATTGACGTTGGTAGAGAAGGCTGACATATTTCATGGATTGCCGACGAAATGTAGATAAGAGAGGAGCTTCGATTGAAGAAGACGTGAGTTGTCATTGTGAAAGATCAATTGAGTAAATTGCGGTGGACGCATCGATTCATAGCTACAGGTGTTACGGAAACGAAGAATAATCCAGTGGTAAAGACATAAGGTGGCAATGATTATAAGTGAGCAAATAGATTGAAACTTAAGTTTGGCATTTATTTAAATGACGTTTTAACACGCATTTCCACTTGCTACGAAGAACATAACGATGGAGGTAGGGAAAGACTTTAGAGGGCGTGGACTTATTTGTTCATTTCTTGCTTATGTAATGAAGTGGCTTAAATGTGAAACTTTCTAGAGTTAATCGTGGATTTTCAGCATAATGATAGATGACGACATAGAGGAAAACACGACGAAATGCATGTGCGCCGATCTGCAGACGGAGGACTACTCGCCGCTCTACGCCAAGTAGGTGGTTCTAGTCGTGATGCAAGCAAACGCACGAAGGTTCCAATTAATTGATCCCAGTTTGAATGCGAAATCAGAGGTAGTCTTAAACATAAAGCAATTGTGGAATTGATATAAAGAAACTACGTGGTTACTCTCGCTAAGCTCCATACGCCGCTCTCACCAATATTTAGCCCACTGTTTCGACGCTCCACCACAGATTATTCTGTAACTCGTACGAATTGTACCAAGAAGAACTTTAATATAGTATAGCTTCTTCCAAGCAACTATTTCTAAGGTATCTTTTAGGGGTAATACGCGTTTGTATGACTAGTTTTCGTATAGTGAGCTATGTTATGCCAAATTACACAATAAAAACCATTCGTGTTCAGAAAAAGTTCTGGAGTAAGCCAACTTCGAATTTTCACGAGCCAAACGTGAAGCACCGCAAGCCCTATAATTCAGATGCAGCTTTTAGGTACAATCTGGCGCTTATCATCATTGCCTTGCCGCCGCTGTCACTATTCGGAGTCTGTACGAATGTCGTCAATATCTATGTGTATTCTCGAGAGAGGTTCGTGCAATGATGTTTTACAATTTCTGAGATTCGAAAAAATGAAATTCTATAGGAGACAAATCAGGAATTAATGTGGGAACAAAGCCAAAGAAACTCAATCGGTTACACTTGAGAGATCAGGACCATTTCGATTTATCTTATTCGGTTTGAGAAAGTGGTTTTTTGTTGAGTAGAAAGCACAGAAATGAGGTGGTAGTAGTAACATGGTTTTAACACTCATATTTTTCATTGGACATCACCGACAACTTCAATTAATTGTAACCATTAAAATTAAAAATTTTCTAACAAAATCAGATAGCGGAACAAATTGTACTAAGTTAAAGAAAGGTTAAACCTCTCAGTGTTGATCAATCCGTGAGGGAAGCGCCATGCGTTCGACTTCATTAAGCATCGTTTGAAGGTAACTGAATGCATATCTGGCCTATACAATGACTTGCGTTGGCTTAGCGATGTATCGAGGTAGTGTTGATATCCTCCTAGACAAGTCTGGTTCCAATTTTTCGACCCCGGAGAGATGGAAGGTTTGATATCCCAGGGTTTCCCTGTGTATTGCAGAGCGCTTCCGACCAATGCGCCACACGCGCCCTTATTCTCAGTCGAGTTAATCGCCAGCTTATAAAATCGAAAAATGAAGCAACGAACGATTTAAAAAAATGCTAGCAACAGGTTTCCCAAAACAATCCTTATTAAAAACCCAGCAAAAAAGAGAATAAGTTTTTTGATATGAAGACGGGAAACATTTTTAGAATGCGAAACTCGGCCAACACCTACTTGTTATTTCTCGCTTGCAGCGATTTCTTGGTGATATTGACAGGTCTCTTCATATTTTGGATTGGTGAGTCATTTTGTCTTGCAAGTTCTTAAAATTAGCCAACAGGTGAAGGTTAATGCTAGTCCCCAGCATTCGCAGAACCTCCCAATGAACGTTCCATAGTCGTCGTAATCTCCCGGACAAGCAGGCGAAAATCTCGAACCGACAAAAATTCGTTAGATATTGAGTGTGAGTGCGGATGCGAGGGCCAATCTCCGACCAGCATATCTATCCCAGGGTCTGCTGCCACTATCGAAGCCAGTATATCTGTTGAAAACCATTTTGTCATCTCTTTCATTTACTTTGTTGGAAACCAGCTTTGTGTTGTCGCTAAAATCAGAGTAGACTGTAAATGCTTAAAGCTTTAAATATGACCAATAGTCTTTCCAGCTAGCAACAACTATTTTTCTAAGTTCGTCTTTCTTCATCACACCTTGTAGAATACAAAGTTGAATTTCTTGTTTCCATTATCCTCACATACCTGTTATTTTTCCTGTTTCGTTTTTTATCAGTAGGCAGATTTATCTCGGTAGTTACCGAGCAGATTCGAAGTTACCTTTACAATCGACCGCTTTTCTCTTCTTTCCAAAAAATCGTCGCTGCCAACACCGAACTAAATGATCGTCGCAAATCGCTACCCAAAGAAAAACACAGAATCATCGCTTAGAATGCCATTAAGTGACTTGCTTTTTTTGCTATAGAGGAGCGAACGACAAAAAATTTACAAAAAAAAAGTCGTACGAAAACACAAATATTCAATGAAGAGCAACATTTACGGGTCAACAACTGCTCACATTGCATCATGAAATTACAGCACCTGCTGATCACAAACAGTTTAAAGAAGTCGATGTCTGCGTTCTCCAGAATGTCTAGGAATTCAGACAAGCGTCTCAAACTGTAGTTGCGGCAATTTCTTAATTGGTGACTGCTCATCTTGTCCATTTCGATTGTTTAATTACTATGTATAGCTTTCACCTGTTGCCTAATATTTTTTCATAGCAGGCGAAATACAACTACAGTCATGCCGAGATACCTGCGAAACTTGGACCCTAGGCAGACCAAAAACACGATTACCCCATCCCGTAGCTCACGTGTTGCCCACTGCACCACTAAGGCACCCGTTCTTCCTTTTTGTCGGCTAGTTTTTTTTGCCCTAACAGTGCCAACAGCGATACACTGGAAAGAGTAATCGGGTTCGAAGCTGGCCTACGATCCAAGTTTTACAAATGCCTCAGCATTATTGTGGATATTTAATTGCAGTTTGCGTGACAGGTGAGAACTTTCCGTGTCTATTTAAATTATTTAAGATTATTAAATAGTCTTTTTCCAATTTAATTAAAAGAGTTAGGAACTGATGCGAAAGCTGCAAAAGTGGTGAATGCCCTAAGTGTTGTAATGCGGCTGTGAAAAGTTGTGAACACTTTTCTGCTTAAGTTCATGTAAATTTTTTTTGAGATCATTAATGTTTCAGTGACTCAAGAAAGTCACTAAAAATTGTTCCAAGGCTGTTCCTTGCAGCCGCCAGTGTTTATGCGGATAATCTTCAGCTGTCACTGAATTCAGACTCGGCGCGATCGTACATTCCGGAGCTGGCGAGAGCTCCGTACACTACCGTGTACATACTGCCGTTCGGCTACATGGCTCAGACGTGCAGCATATACTTCACCGTAGCGGCGGCCTTCGACTGCTACACAAACGTAGGGATTTCTTCGTAATAACGTCTAAGATTTTAAACAGGAGATGAACTAAGTGGTACCATTGAGACGACTCCCGATTTTTTGTCATTTGCGGATACGGTATATTTTGTACAGCGTACAACCGCATGAGGAGGTGGTTTCACATTGTGTTTGCTTCATTTCGGCTTCTTTTATATTCTCCCATTCCACGCGTCAGCCATAATTCATCATTGTGTTTGGGAACTATGCAACAGTCGATTACTAGTGAAAAAAAATCTTATATGCCGCAGCAAGTGACGAAAGATGTCAGTTTTTCGATAGCTCCCAATAATTTCTCGACAATTAGAAGAATTATGAGGTTGAGAACTTAAAAGATATGTGGATAAGAGTTTTCTCAGTCTTTATGAAATGCCTTTTTTTCTACAAATTATTCTTCCAACTTTGAAATTGTTTTCAACTAGTATTTTGTAAAGGAGCAGGATTTTTATCACACTAGGATGCAACGAGCTTACATCTTGTTGGCAAGGATTTTTAGGTACTGAGTACATTTATTCCAGCTCATAACGTTTACTGTCAGTTAAAAAATATTTGTTTAGAAGTTAGAAAGAACAATGATTTTTGGCTACGTATGAAATGGAAGAGAAATTCCAAGATTCTTTGAGGTGCGGATAGCACAATGGCAGTGATGTCGATCATCACGAATATGGTGTTAGTTTGAATCCGCACCGGGCTAACCAAGTTGTCATTCCCATAGGGTCGGAAAATTGGCACCGAACTTGTCCGGGAAGAAAGAATCACTCTTTGCAATTCATTTGGGAACGCTCCAGCCTTGCTATCCCAGGACTCCAGGGAGTCTCACTCGGCTCGACAATGATCCCACGATATTCAAGCTGAAATGGAATTCCTCAAGCAGTAGCCGACGCCACGCGCAAAAGTTGGAAGATCTTCGTGGATGGTGGATCCGAGGAAACGAACCGAATGTGAGAAATGCTGGGATGCGAACCGTAGACGTAAAGGCGGGTCATTTAAAACAAAAAAAAAAAATAATCCATGCGTTTCTTCCTAGAAAAGCCACAGTTCTACTACTCAAGAGTAGTAATTTAAAAAAAACCGTTGTAGAAGATTTTTAAAAAGGTACTTTGACGAGTGAATGCTGATAAAGTGTGAAAAATGTAGGCTATAAAATGGATATTTTTGTGCAACACCTTTAAAAGACCAATAGGAGGTAGTGAACTGAGAATTTATAACCACCCTTGAAGATCCAGTGTAGAAGCGCATTGATGAATACGTGCTCTACAACCAACAAATTCAAAGCGCTTTGGACCGCTCACCTGCTTTGCATTTATAGTGAAGAGTTCGAGTGCAGCAAAAACGTCTTTATACTTCAATGATGCTGAGATATTGGCAAAACTCCTGAACGAAAGCGCTATTGTCCTTTCGGGGGGCTAACACCTTCACCACCACACCATGCGATTCCTTCGTTTCGCCTGTCTCTCAGCTAGTTCTATCGATCACTTACCATCATCTTTATACTCTCCCCAACAGCATCAATGCTGAGGGACTCTCTTCAGCACCAGCGGTTCATTTCGGCCGAGCAAACTAGTACTACGGAGAGGTTTTTCGTGCCAGATAGTTCATCTGTGTTGAATAAGCTAGCAGTTCTATGTAGAAAATACAACAAAGAAGATCCATTAAACAGAATTAATCACTGAAAAAGAAATTACTCCTTTGCTTTGGTACTTGGACGGCCCGTGTTCATCGGTTGTTCGGGCGTCAGCCAGCATAAATTCCATTTTTCGGAGTTTTGTGGTTCCATGGATTACACAGGTCAGCCTAGGCGAAGCCTTCCTCAGATCCTCATCACCCCAGCCATTCAGCACCCTTGTGCGTCAAGAGAAGAAGATATGCCACCATGAGACAAGTTTGATACCACCACGACAGTGGTGATTCTTGGCGATGGTGTTGGTTCACTTTTAGTGGAGCTTCCGGTTCCGGACGGTAATGAAGGACTGGTTTTTAGCTCGAGTGCTCCTGATAAGGGAGGAATCCCTCGCTGTACAGCGCAGCCGAACATCCAGAAACACCTCTCAGCCACAAAGTGGCGATAAACCGTTGGGAGGGAAAGGGAATTCATTAAGATGAACGCAGTCCACTCAGTCTAATAAGTGACCTATGTTTTGAGATCAATGCTTAGTGCCCTGAAGTGCTAAATAGTCCCATAAAAACAATTAGAGCGACTTATGGTTTACAATAATTTGCACAATATTTTTCGCTAGACCAATAAAAACGTCCTTTGTTGTGTGAAAACCATGGAAATTACGCAACCTTTCATGAAATCGTAACATATATAGCTGAAATAGCAAGAGAATAAAAGGACTTTGGATTTTTCCTTCAACTAGCTTTTCTCACATTCGTCACTTTCTACTTTGGCTTTCCGTCTGATCAATTTTATACGAATCTGTTTAGGTCTGCCTGAAATCGTTCTCCAAGACCTACTGTACCATTCGCAGAGCGAAACAAATTTGTTTCACTGTGATGGTTGCGTCCATCGTTTACAATTCGTTGAGATTCCCACAGTTCAATTTGCGCAAGTGCCTTCACGATACTAGCGGTGTGAGTTCTGTGGCTCATAAGAACACGACAAGTAATTGTTACCGGAAGCAGTCGTGAGCCACTGTCATGGCTACAGCGACCATTTTCAGGACCAAGTCATCGAAATCTGTCCGACTTCCTTGTTTTTCACCATAAATGTGGCATACAATGTGTACTTGTACATGGTGCTGATGACTCTTTTGCCGTTTCTCTTTCTTCTTTGCCTTAACACCATCATCGTCTGGCGGCAGAGCACTGACACAAGCCGACAAAATGAAGTGTAAGTTTACGTTACTAGTCCACGTTTGAAGTTCATTTCTCATCCGTGAGCCGAAGAGCTCTTATAGTTGGAGAGTTGACTGTAGTCACTTTGACTCGCGCCACAGTAGTCATAGAAAGACGTATCCATCACTCCTTCTGTCTCGTCAATGCTTTATTCTCATTTCGTTTCCCTGTCCCGGCACTCATCCAATTTTTCTATCAGCAAACGTTACTGCTTTTCCCGCACAGTGTAAAATGTGCCTCATGATTCATAATACCACTCGTAATCAAATTCTGCTTGTGATATTTAGTCCTGTAGGCAAAATATTATGAACCACCCTTCAAAGTTCATGGAGTAATTTTTTCCATATTGGAGTATAATCTGAACCATAATATCTGAACAATCTGAACAGATAATTTGAACAAGAACAACCAAAGTAAAGTTAAATTCAAAGAAAAGTTCCACAATATGAGACTTCTTCTCTTGTTTTCAAATTTTTCGAAACCTTCAAAAGTCTTAAAGTATACAGTAATCTTGAATAGTCTTTATCTTACTAGATGCTGTTGCAGTTCCAAAGTGCACTCTGCTCATGCGTTGCTCCATCCGCCGCCCAGTAGCTCAAGTGGTGGTGACGAGACGATCACCATGATCATGGTCGTCATTCTCTTCCTCGCTTGCAATACTCTAGTAAGGAATTCGCCATAGTGTGTTTCGTTGATGTGAATCTTTAATTTGCACTGCTTGAAGGCAAACCAAGAAAATGCCGTTGTCGCGGTACGTCTCCTAAATTAGAAACTCTTTCGAACTATTGGTAGAATTTAAGAATGTGAAATAAAAATACCGCGCCATCATCAATTACTCTTGTAAGTATAAAGAAGCCATAGTAAAGAAACATACTCTGAGTTGGCATGCGGCTAAGAGTTACTAAACTAGAAGATAAATCGTCGATACCAGAAGGATTTAGAGATAGAACTACAGAGGTTACTCCACTATAGAACTCTCTCCCTTTGGATGGAATGAGAATGCACTTGGGACCCACTACTTAAGGGCGCTACGGTTGAGTTCCCACTTTTGGGGTTAATCATTTAAAGCGAATTCATGCGATTCACATGCGTTATATGAATACGTTTATAATATCTATTTAGAGGCAGTGATACCTAAATGGCTCATACACACAATGCTTACTAGCGCACTTCTTATATTCGTCTTGTTCTTCATCGGCCATCGTATGACTTTTTGTTTTGAACTTCGATTCTGTCCTTTTCTCTTCTTCTTGATATATGGATAGTTGAACGAATTTTCTACTTAATGCCCAAATAATCGTGCTAAGGCGTTCACACATTCTCAAGATAAGTAATCACCGACCTTAGGGATTGAAGGGAGCTTTGAGCCGCGTTAGGTTGCTCCATTTCAGCGGCCACGAAGATCCATATTGGAAGGACAATTTCGCCGTCATAGTACTAGTATAGAGAAATAGATCTCATAATTGAATGGTGCGCTTAAATGGTTTAAGTGGTGGAAAGAGTTCCACGTAATGAAGAAGTTGTTGCTTGAAGTTGCTAACGAGCGAAAAATTACTGTTCAAGTGAGATACTTGAAATAGTAGAGATGAAAAGTCTACTGTATCGAACGTATCAAAAATTTCTTATTCGACCCAGTGAAAATACGCGCTGCGAATCAACAGGGAAGCAGAAAAGCCCAACGAAGCTGGGATAAGCTATAAGAAAGGTGATTGATGAACACTTGTTTTCTTCTTGCATTCACCCTGTACTCCCTTGTAGTAGAATAAGCAGCTATGATGCTCTCTCGTTATTTTTTATAAAGTAACGGAGTTTTCGCTATGTTTTCGCTATCGTAGAGGAGACAGACCTAGCGCTGTTGTATGCAGGCTATATACACAAAAGTATTAACAAACAAAAGGAGTTGCACAACATGTGCTTTAGAAAATCGGCGACCTTTCTAAGTAATGCGCAGAAATTTTCCACAAATCCATTTTCTTTTTCATACTGGGTCTTTGTCTGTTGGCAGACCACTGTTGACCTCAAACCTAACGTGAATGTTTTCGACGTCGAACAAATTAATTGGTGTGGGACCCAGTACTCAGTGCTTTGTCCTCACAGACTATTACGCCACCAGTTTACTGTACAAGAATGGGAAGGGAGCTAGGTAGTTTAGAGTTGCCACTTTGGTTCATATGGCAACGTATTGTAGTTGAGGTGTTGGCAATGAGATATACATCATTACAGTGCCTATTTCTATATGATGGGTGGCGTTTTTCAGACCATGTGTTTACTTCAGGCTCTGATTGTTAACTTGATCGAAACGTTCTTCGATCCGGACCCGCTACTTCTCAATCTGCTTTCGGATGCGAGCAATTTTCTGGTCGTCCTCAACTCTTCTGTGAACTGTGTTATCTACTTTGTCTTCAACAACATATATCGTGAAATCTTCATGTTAGTTGATTGACATTGATTGATTGACATACATTGATTAAATTCCTTTAGTATAAAATGCTCCCATTGCAGAATGCACACCCCAACCGAAAAATTTTTTACTTTAGTAATAATTTAATTAAAATTTATTAATAATAATGAAAAAAAGAGGTGCTTGAGAACTGTTTGAGATGAAAGATTTTAGTGTAATCAGAGATAGAATGGATTGTTACGGTAAAATGAATGCTATCGTGGAAATCTGTAATTTAGTGGATTAGGGTTGAAATTTAGGGCAAGGTTCCATCGTGTTCTAGACGGACTCTCGAGAAACACGTGTTGTTACTGCTGTCGTTGCTGTTTCCCACGACGACATCGTCAAGATTCCATCTGCAAGTCGGCAACGGTTGATCGGGGTGGACTCCGACGGTCATCGTTGCGCTATGTCGCTTGTGAAACCAACGGCAATACCATTAGAAGTAAGTACGATAACTTTTGGAGCCTGATATTTTTCTTCGTGGTTCTACCGCAAAAACGTGCTTAAGTTTAATAGAAAGTCGTTGTTCATTAGTAGTGCTAATAGACAGTGAAGTGGATCAGATGAGTTTGGCATTTGCGATTTTTTTTGCATATGAAAGACTACATAATAAGGTTGCACGAAAGGTAAAACCAATTTGAAAAATCGTCAACGGGAGTGATTACGGTGAAAGCATTACAATTTAAAACGACTAGAACTGTGCAGATAGGACGGCGAATACAAGATTCCTTAACTCGCAAAGTTCCACACCGATTTGCTAGCCATAGTTGCACAGCGTGGTTTGCTCGCTTGGAGAACAACTGAAGCATCATAGTCTTCTTCTAAGAACTTTATAAATAAATCTGTCTATCGAGTTAGTAGACTTCTTGCTGTGCGTTAGGGATCCTACTAGATATAGTTTCTTGGCTCTTGTTCTCCATAACTCGCTAAAACGACTCAGATATCTGGGCAACCTGATTTTCGGCATCTTAATGTAGCCGGCAAGATTTGTGATCCCTGATCACCACTGTGTGTGGAATCGTTTCTTTCTCGCTTGTGTAATAGGAGATACTTTCAACTTAACCTTCTAGATAGTGTATTTGATAAATCTGAATTACCTTTCCTCCGACATGCGTAATATCTATCTTTGCTAGGACAATATTGAGACTGAAAGCGTATTTGGATCAAAACGGCAAGCATAGTGATAGGTGCTCCTTGTTTTTTTCACCGTATGCTCGATTTTCTCGTAAACTTTTGAAGCCCGTCATTATTTCGTGGTTGAGAGCGTTGCTATATTGTTCAGCATATTATTAACACCCAGATAAACAAGCCAGGCATTCGGATACGCTCGTTCCACTGAGCGTGAATGCGGAAACAGAAAGCATTTTTGGTGATCGTCGTTTACTTGAAGCTCTCAAGAAGATATCAACCACAAATTCTTCTACAAACGCTGTGGAGATCCGTCAGTATTCATTTCGTCTGGATTGTGCATAAGTTGTAAGAAGGATATCACCAGCAAAATATCGATGATGTAGCTGCTGGCCATCTACGTTCACTCTCATGCTATTACACTCTCAATTTTCTCGTAATATTTACAATGGAAGCCGTAAGCAATTTTTCCAGGGTAGCTGTGTCTTGTTGACCCCTCTCGTTAGGTCGCTGATTATACTGCTGTGAACTGGTGAAAATGGGGAAATTGTTCTATGCCTAGGATCATGTGCTGGAGCGCAATTCCTTTGTTTTTTGCAGCTTCCCTCTCCGCTTCTGTTTCATCTTAAGCGAAGACGTCCTACACGTCGATGAAAGTCAAATGAAGCGTTCTCTTGTACTCCTGCGTTGAGTTTCATAATGTGAGATGATTTCGCATGAAGTAAACTGATCCAATTTTCCAAATTCGCTGTTTAGGATGATACAAATAATGGGATTCTAGACGACTCAAAGCTGGCGGACTATATTAAGAGTTACATACGTCGTGCAGGTTTCCCTTTTCTGCAGAAACACTGTGTTGTCTTACTACAGAAATCTTGCTTTATGAATGACACGTGCGAGAAACTAAGCTTCTGGCCGAAACCGACAGTTGAGTTGTTCGAGTCCTATCCAGGCAGGAATTCATTGTGTTATTCACAGACGAGGTAGCATATCAGGCACAAGGGAGTAGAATTCTTGGGTTGGTTGGCATTTTCGTCGTCGAGGACTTCTGTTTCAAAATATTTTCTGTTATATCTCTGTACCTATGTATCCTATATATCCTACGCGCGTCTAGTAGAGTATTCGGTTTAACTTAAGTAGCTTTTAACTTCATGCTAACCATCCTCGAACCTTATACAAGACGAAGGAGCAATAAACATGCATGGCTTTTCTATTAAGTAGCTTATGGCCGTCATAAAGAAGTGCCTAATCTGTCCAATCCTGGTATGGTCAGGAGAGTATTACACACGAAAGAAAGGGCTGGTAATGGACAGCGACTGGCACCAAACCTTGGCATTGATTTCATGTCTAAGGTGGAACCGCCGTTAATCAATCTCCGGAAATTACTTTAGTTTAGATATACAGAGGATTGCCTTGTCATCTGCTCCACAAAGAAAAGGTGGACAAATGATTTGAGGTATTGAGAGAACAGAGAGAGTGTGTAACATTCATCCGACAGAAAGCGAAGGAAAACTGGCTTCCATCTTTCCATCTTTAAGCGTTCAAATAAACCTGTTCGAAAACGCCCACATCACGAAGTGGTACCAAAACCAAGTAGCAAAAACATAAGGTTTATTAACTTTCTTCTCAACCCTCACACACCAAAAGGGTCTGTGTAAGAAATCTGTTTCGAACAGCTGCAGTGTGTGCACAGGAAGAGAGCAACAAGAAGAATCCCTGAAATTGGCGCAGCAAATAGCCATTTCCAGTGGCTGCGAAAGTGTATCTCATCAGGATAGATGTAAAGGAAAAACTACCCACAAAACGGTAGTTCTAACCAGAATAAACTTCCGTCCATATTGCCCTTCATTTTCAACGAATTAGGTGCAGTACCACTAAGCGCTCTTTTAAATCACGCAGTGACGAATACGTTGGCGTAACTGGTAGACCACTACGGATTCGCATTAAAGGACATCTGGTCGTTAAACCTAAAGCATAGCCAAGTACTCTACTAAGTGCGCATAAGATACAGGGAGATAACGGAGAAGATTTTGACAAAGAAGTTGCCGTCCGCATACATTAATCGGATACTTTGGCGAGCAAAAGTCTCCATGCATCCATGCAGTCTCTTTATAAATTCCAAGAATCCAAAAATGAACCTTAGAATGAATTTCTCTCTATTAAACATAATCTCACACATCATTTAAGACTAACATTTTAATGTGATAGAGGCACATTAATCGCCCAAATGAACTTTTTGTGGCTGGCCTACACGTGAAATATTCAGTAGAAGAAGACTCACAGAGATAGTTGAGTGCGCAAAGAAGCTGTTTTGTTCTCAATGCGATTAAAATATTTGTTCCGTGCCTTTTCCGTTTTGGTTAGGAGGTCTTTGGCTGGGCCCATTGCGGCCAACTTAACCTTGCCAGGCCTGAACAAGGCGAAATCTATTGAAACGCCATCATTTTCTTTAAAAAAGGATAAAGTAGTAACCTCGTCGTTTCACATCAAGAATGCAGTGAATTATTTAATTAATGCCGAGGCTATTAGAGAGATCATCCAGAAAATCACTTCTGTCATCAGTACAGTTAGTACACATGGTTCGTTGGGCTCTTCCTTGGTGGCTGGGTGCGCTTCTAAGCAACTTCCCGAACCCTTCCCAAGTGGGCAAGAGAAGTAAGACTATGACGGATAGCGAATTTGTTTATCAGAAACGGTAATAGAGGATACTTTTGGACCTCCAAATCACTTATTTGCAGTTGTTTGACCAACTTCGCGTGTTCGATAGACGTGACTACACTTCTGTAGGCATGCAGTGTGCATCAATACGCAGCGTACATTTTGTAAAATATGGGATGACTTGCGGACTTTTACAACCGCCATACTGTAATCTTTACTTACGCTCCAAATACACTTGCAACCAATATTTTGACGATCTTTCATAGTAGAGCTCCGTGAGATTTTTAATTAGTCTAAAACTTTTTCTTAATGTGATTTTCTAGCATCAGTGACTCGTGAGTCTCCGGATTGGCAGCCCCTCACTCAGTGCAGTCTGCCGAATATGGAGTGGACAGCAGGCAGTTTCAACCCATCTGGGCGTCGTATCACGCTCGTCGACGATGATCCCGACAGTGGGTGGGACGAGCGAAGCCAAGTAAGATTCCCAGAATGTTCTTAAAATATAAAAGAGGCTCACACTTGTTTCAACCATAGTTTTAACAATAGCAATGGAAAATCAACGAGGGACATATTTTAAAATGTGTGATTGAGCCCCATTTCTACAAATTTAACTATATTCGTTTGTTAATCAATTTTAATCATGCGTATTATAGACAGTAAAGAAGAGTTTACATTGTGAATCTGACCAAAGCCTTAGACTGACTGGTTTCGATACCGATTTGCTCACTCCCTTCCTCCAGATCCGTTCCGTTGGTCTGTTGTTGCTGATGGCAAAGCTAGGTAGACAACTGACCAAGAGACAGCCAAGGGAAGGACCCCAGGAATCCAGTGCGTAACACGTGAGCTTCCAAATGGAATAGTCGCAGGTTCGAATCTGCCCTCCTGGGATCCAAGTTTTGCAAATATTTCATTATCGTCGTGGATATATGCCTGTATTTTCGAATAAGTGCGGCCTGAAAAATTTGCTAGTTGGTTTCATCGAAAACCGTAGAAATTTCATACATCCCTTCTCTGGAGCAGTACATCAAGTGGGAAGTGGTGGTTGGGTTTGTCTATATTCTAATGCAATGCTGTAAATCAGATCGGCACTAGACTAATGCTTTGAGAATGAGTTCCAATTTATGTCCTTTTTAGAAAGACGTTTCTTATCCAACGCTCTTAAAAACGCTAAGATGTTACAATAGCTTTTCTCAGTTTTTCTAGGAAACTTGCAA